TTTTTTTTTTTTTTTCCGGCAACACAATGAAATTTATATCATTTTGATACCGTTGCTTTTTATTTGAAATCATTTTGTTGTTAACACACACACACACATACACATGTTTACAAATTGTTCTCATTGAGAAACAAAGGAGAGAAAGAATTTAATTCTGCTCGAATTTTACAGAAAAAATTTCAAATAGAGAAAGAAAGAAAGAAATAAAAAAAAAAGGAGAATAAAAAAAATTACAATTTCATCGTACAATAAGAAGTCATTTTTTATTTTTTATTTTTTATTTTTTTATTTTTTTTATTTTTTATGGAATGCATATTTATTGCACAGTTATGTGCATTGGTTGGTTGGTTGATTGGATGATTGGTTGGTTGGTTGGTTGTTTGGTTGGTTGGTTGGTTGATGGAGATTTTCCTCGTATATATTGTTTCATTATTTTCCACGAACCTATAACAAATCGATATTTCAAACTTCTATCCAATAACAGAATTTTCGTTTCGACCAATGGGGGGAAGAAAAAATAAAAAAAAAAAGGGGGAATAAAAACTGCCCCGCCAAAAAAAAAATTCATTCAGATAGAAAAATATACTTTTTTGTTTTGGAAAAAAAAATATATATATATAAATAAATAATAGTGTTATAAAATAATTAATAATATTTATATTAAAATATAATATTTATATGCAATTGTATAGTACTACTATATATATATATATATATTTTATTTATTTAGTGTAAACAATTATTTATATTATATATCATATTATTATGTTTTATTTATTATAATTATTATATAATTGATATTATTATTAAATAATTTAAAATATTTAAATTAAAATATAATATTTATATTTAATTATATAATAGTAGTTTATATAGTAGTAGTACTATAAGTATAGTATAATAAATAATTATTTGAATAAATAATATATATTTATTAATTAATTATTAAATATATAATATAATATAGTATATTATATTTAATTATGTTAAATTAAATATAAATAAAATTATTATATATATATATATAAATAAATAAATATATAATAATATTATGACCTTAGTGTTTTCATATGTGTTCTCATAGAATAGAATAGAATAGAAATTGTTAAAAAAAAAAAAAAGAAAAAGAAAAAAAAAAGAATGAGAGAGAAACATAGTGATAGATATAGACGAGAGTGTACCCAACTACTATTAAAACGGTATCGCGAGTTGTTGCGGCCTACTATTCGTTAGACCTTGGACGCATTGGACTGGCACGAGTACGTCGTGTGCAATATATTTCATTGTTCGAAGGTCAATCGACGACATATCGATTTTATTACCGAGAGAAGAATTTTTGTAAGAACTCATTTCATATACTCTAAATACCAGTAATATACTTCTCTTTTTAGTTGGTTTTTTTCTTTTTTTTGTTTTTTTCCTATTCATGTTGAATTTTATTTTTACTACTGACTTTTTATTATAATCTTATAACAAAACAAACAAAACTATAATAATAATAATAATAATAATAATAATAATAATAAAAATTAATAATTAATTATCTTTAATACGTTAAGTGCCCCAAGAAGTGCCCTTTTTTATGGTCTGTCTTATCTTTTCAAGGTCATTTGATTTTTAGAGTATTAAATAAATGTGTCACTAATCTAAAAATGTATCATCGGTGATTACAGGCACGTGTTAATTAATTAAATGTGTTAATTTATTTTAATAATTAATTTAGTAATTGTTTAAATTACTATTTATATATTAATGTTTAGTAACTTTTTTTAAATAACTTGTTTTTTTTTATATTTAAATTATTTTATTTTTTCTAACAAATTATTTTATTCCTAATTAGTTACTTATTTCATAAATAAGCAAGTAATTAAGAATAATTTCCGACAATTATTATTATTATTATTATTATTATTATTATTATTATTATTATTATTATTATTATTATTATTCTACGTTTAAAAATAATTATTTTCAAACTATTTTTAACCAAAAAAAAACCCCCAACTATTGTTATTTTGACCGCCATATTTCAAAATAATTTCAATCGATTATTATTGGGATCTCTGGCTGGGACGTGGCGTAAGCAATTCGGCCTATTTATTTTAATTTTGAATTTAGCCACCAGATAGTGTATTCAAGTGCTAGAGATCCAATGTGACGTAGCAATTTGACCTATCTACTCTAATTTTGAATGTAGCCACCAGATAGCGTATTCAAGTGCTAGAGATCCAACGTGACGTAGCAATTTGACCTATCTACTCTAATTTTGAATTTAGCCACCAGATAGCGTATTCAAGTGCTAGAAATCCCAATAGAAAATATTTCTGAATTACGTAGTACATTTAAAAAATATTATATTAGGTATCAAAATGATTCGTTTTGTAATCTACCGCCATTGTAAAAATAAATGATCTCTATCATAAAGAGGAGGAGGAGAAAAATCATTGATGATCAATGATCAATAAAACGCCGATCGAAAATCCTGTTTCTACTTCGATTACTTCTCACAGCTATGATTCACCATGTTGGTTTTTTTTTTCTTT